TCGGGTGACATGCTGATGACAACGTGCACTAAATGCGGTATCAGTTTCTTTCATGACTAAACATAATTGACAGTACCTACTCTTTGTAGCAACGCCAGAGGTCAGAGGCAAGAACGCGGGGTCAGAGGTCAGCCCGGAGTCAGTCACGCGGCCGCGCCGCGTGTTCCGGCACGCCGTGGGCTGTGCCCCCAGTGTTACTAGATTGGTACAGCGCAACTGAATAGCACTACCTCTAATATGGCCCTGTCAGTGAATAAAGTCAGGTGTATAGGGTTTTTTTTTAAAAAAAAGATCACTTGTAATTAGAATATTAACATTTTTAAAAAACATCAGTGATTTACAAGTCTTCCCCTCATTTTAATAAAATCCACGCTGTCAAACTCTGTATCTTTCTTGGCACCTTGCATCAACAATTTTTTTCATCTTTTTTAGCCTTTCCCCTACTCAGTATTTTCCCCATACTTAAGGAATTTTCCACACATCAGGTCTGGGGCCTTATAGCTACCACACTGCCCACCCTGACAAGGCTTTTCAACCTTTTAAACCTTTTTTTGATCTCTCATTTCCCTATGTAAAACCCGCCTTTTGGCAGGGACATAAATTAGAGGCATTTTTTAAAAACATTAACACTGGTAATGAGAAGGCTTTTTTAAAAAAAAACCCGTGTACAGGTGATAAAGTGGGCAAAGCAAGTCCACTGCTTCTGAGTAAAGGTGAATGAATGCTTCCAGAGATGTGACTGTTCCAAGTCCCATCCCAGTCAATAAAACTAATTTTGTCAGAAGTGAACTAAGGCATCAATATATATAGTATAATATAGATGTGTATAACAAACCCTTAAATGTCACATACCAGTGTCACATCTTGTTGTCAGAGTAAACCTGACAATTGGTTAGAGGTAATAGGCAGGACACATATCATGGTTGCTAATACAAGATTATCATCAAGTTACTATACCTTAGTATCGTCACAAAATTCACTATCATCACAGAATGTCACACTGACCTTGTGCGATAATACAAGAAATAACTTAAAGCCTGGGGTCTCAAAGATATTGCAGTTTTATAGCCCCCTTTATTGTAGTATAGGGCTTTTTACATGCAGGTGACCATTCTAATCAGAATCACACCAGAAAAAGCAAAATATCAGCTCGAACAGAAACTGTAATTGATTTTAGACCAATCTGAAGTAGAATTAGGCCGACTTAAATGCAAAGTTTTAATTGAGCAGAAACCTACTCAGAATTTGGACAAACATGTACAAAAATCAGCTCCAACAAAACCCCTTCTTTCTTCTAACCCAAAACGGCCACGGAAACTACGCCTATCAACACTAGTTTCCGCGGTATTGAAAGTGGCAATTTATAGCTCACTGATTCTTGTACAGAAACAAAGGGTTTCTGTCACTGGGCTGATTTGGAAATTTACTCCTTTGGAAAGTTATAAGATAAAGGCAAGAGTAAATTTTTCTAACTATTTTTATGTAATAAAATGGCTATATAAATGATAGCTTTTAACACAAAGAAAATCTGTGGACAAAGCTGTCCTTTTTCCACCAGAAAAACGGGAAGTAAAACTGTCTGATAAATGCCACATTTATTCACTAATTTGAGTTGTGATTTTGACAAAGGAAAAAACTAGGTATAACACACGGGAAATTCAAAAATTTCTTTTCCCTTTTAAACATGTATTGAATGTACATATTTAGATACATGTTTCCTCAACCAAGAAATATGATATATTAATTATTTCATAAATGACTCTTCTTTATCAAGCTTTCTGTAAGAACAAAAAGAATGTCTTTCACAGGGATGGAAAAGTTATTGAAAAGCTAACCTTTCCATATGGCTTTGAATACCCCTTTCTGTGTACTATAAAGAATATATTTTCCCTCATTTCAAAAATATGTGGTTTATATTCCTCTTTATTTGTGGTATAAAAGATGATATTTCTGCCATTTTTAGAAAGGTCTTCTTTATATGCACCTTTGTTAGCAGATAGAAAGAACATCTTTCAAGACAAAGAGAAAGGTGTGCCTTTTGATCACATGAAAGATGCTCTTTGTTCTTGTATGAAAGGGGAAACAAATGATGTCCTTTCTGCCAAAGATATAAAGATGTTATTTTCATTGACATGAAAACATGAATATAAATAGCTTCTTTGTGAAAAAAATAAAAACATTTCCTTTCTGCGACAAAGAAATAGGTATACAAATCTGTATTGAAAAGATGAACTTTCAATTGACATTTCAGTTTTTCCTGAAACAGGTCCTTTCCATACAAGGGAAATATCTTTGAAAAGCAACTATTTATGCTAATTCAGATATATGATCTTTCTTCCCTATAGAAAGAAGAATTAAAATGTTTACATTAAATTCATCTTTTAATGGGAAAAGAAAGTTTTGAATTTTCCCTGTGTAAATCTTAGATATATCTGAGCATTGATCTCCAGGAAAAACCTGAGATTTTCCTGACAGATAAAGCAACAGATAAACTTGGCTTTGTCTTTTGAATGGCAATTTTTTCTGTGGCTTTATCCAGTAGGAAAACCCCACATTTTTCTTACAGATGAATGTCTGGATTTATCCAAAATTTATCTCTAGTTTTTTCCTTTGTGGAAATGTCAGGTTAAATTGGTGTATAAATATGGTATTTATCTATAAGTTTTACCATGGGTTTGTGTGCTGGAAATATGTCAGTGTTATTCCTGGATTTTCCTTGTAGCAAAAACTATCATTTATACAGGGGTTTTATCATACAAAAAAATCCACAGATAAATTTGGAATTTATTCATCCGTTTATCCTGTACCTTTCCCAAAGGGGGGAATTCCTACATCAGCCCAGTGTGTGCAAGAATCAGTGAGCTAGAAACAAAGCACTTTAACAATGCTGAAACGCGGACAGAAACATTGAGTTTCTGTGTCCATTTCAGTCCTCCACAAACAAAGGGATTCCTTAAGCACCGGTCCGGGTCTGGGTTTGGGAAGGCTGACCCTGACCCTGACAAACCCTGACCCTTCCGGGTATGGGTCCAGCCAGGTCCAGGTTGATCCACAGGTTGGAGATATGGAAGCAGAAGATGTGTTTGGGACAATAATTTGGATATAATATATATGTTTCGCAATATGATATGGTGTTAGGTATAGTATCTGTAGGCTTGAAGTGTTGCGGCTCTATCCTTGCTATAAGTGCCATGCCCCTTTGGACTTCCCATGCCATTCACCAACTGCCCAGTCTCACAAGGCCTCGGCTCCTACTTAGGCTATCGCTATGAAACTTCACAGCCCTCCGAGACTGCTGTCCACAGCCCTCACCCGAGTTTAAGCCTCTGCCTTCCACTCCAGGTCGAGGGAAAACTGGACGATATCGGGCTGGACTTCAACTCCCGGACGCACCAAAAGGCAGTGCCAAAACGGCATTTGCTATGTCGGTCGTCCCATGCTCAATAAGCCAAGCACTACGAGGACCCAATGCCCCATACTGGGAAGCTGCTTTTGGAAAATAAAAATTGGGACACTCGAGGCACATCAGACCTTCACGGTCATTCCCCGGACTGAGGCTGGCGACGAGCCAATTCTACCGCTCATGTGGGTTATGCAACACCGACACGACGACATTGGCGACATCCAAATTTTACATCGAACAACCCAAAGGCATGGATTCACAAAAGATGCCTCGTCGTTCCTATATCTGGAAACTACACAAAGCTCTCAACCTCAACGCTCTTCTCCAGCTAAAGGAGCAACTCCATGCCAAATTCCCACTCAAGGTCAATGGCAAAGCGACTCTCTATCTGGGTACGACTATCCAACAGGATCACGCCGCCGGTACCATCTCACTTGGGCAAGCGGCATACATTCACAACGATGTCGCTCTCGCTGGCCAACAGACAGCCAAAGCGGCACCAAATCCGATGGCGCCGCGTTTGGGAAAACGGAATGAGGGGGAGTGTTAACTATATTTATTCTACATACTTTGCTTTCTTACCTTTCATTCCGCTACCTACCGCACTCGATAATAGTCATTACTCATCACACTTATGTCAGCTCATCTTTTCTCTTAGAGCTGACACAATATTCTAACATTATTTTTGAAGGGGTCCATCTTATGATGTAGCATCAGTTAATTTACCTACAAGCCCATCTAGAGCAGTATTACAAGTGAGGAAATGATATCTTCCCTCAACTGAACCTCATTAACTCAAGTATGCTATCACAAAATTGTTGATCATTTTTATGTTCCATTTTCAAACCTTAATAAATGTTTTCTTATCATTTACATTAAACATTTAGTTTACCGCAAATGAGAAACTAGATAATGGGAGCCCATCTGTAGGTTGGCAATGTTCTTTACATGAAGTGTGTTCTGTAGCATTAAAGAGCGGGGCACCCGCCATGGACCGGCGGAGGGCGGGCCTCACAGTTGCGCTTGGCTGGTGTCGCAGATAGTGATGTCTGATCGGGGGAGAGGAGAAGCGCAACGCGAGGATGGCAGGTGCGCGTGGAGCCCGGGTGCGTGCCTCGGGTCGGCTCGCGAAGCGATCGGGTGTCGCGGGCGGGTCGCGGGTCGCGTCGGGATATCGCGCTGTTCCCCGGTTCGGGCGCGCTGCACGGAGGGAGTACTATAGCTAGCCAGCTGGTCTGGTCGACGCGGGGCTCGCATCGTCGTTCGTCGCCCGACCGACGTCGAAACGCCCGCTAGTTCTGAAACGGATGGCCAAAGTTTATGGTTTACCCGACGCGCGGGATCAGTGCAGCGCTGATTGTGATCCGGGCGGAATTGAGTCAGTTACGCGAGCGTGGGAGCCCCGCAGGCGTTCTTCGCACTGTCCGTCAGCAGTGGAGTGGGTATTCATTTTCTTTCTTTCTTTCTCCCTCGACGCTTTGCGCTTTGCCCTTCGCCCCTCGCTCTCGACGAGCCGTTTTCCCCTCTTCGCTCCTCGCTGCCCTTTTTATCTTTTGTCACGACACTCCTTCTTTTGCTTTTCATCCACGACACGACCATGCAAGCACGGACGCCGCACTACCTCCCCCACAGCGCGTACCAAACACACGCGGCGACCAAAGCGGACAGCAGCGCGCCGCTCTCCCCCGCGAGCGAGTTCTCGGCGCGCCTCGAGACGGCCAGCGTCGTTGCCGACCACGGCCATGACGCGACGACGAAGCGGGCAGCGCGGATATTCGTGCCGGTCGCGTCGCTCCAGCCACCCCCGCCGTCGAACACGGCAGCTGGCAGACCGCAGCTTTTCCTCCTCCGCCAGCCGGTCTCCCCCGGATCGCCCCGCCCGTCCTCTTCCCCGTCCCCGTCTCCCTCGGGCCGCTCCTTCCCGTCCACACCCTCCACGCCAATGACGCCGCTGACCCCGCTGACGCCCGCCCCGGTGCCGGACCCGCGCAGGAAGATGGCGAAACTGACGCGCACGCTCGGGCGCCCCCCGCCCGCCGAGCTCGTTTTCGCGGCCGAGCACGAGCGCCTCATGCCGTCGAAGCACGTCGTCCCCGCGATCCTCGGCGCACTCGGGCCTGCGCCGCCCCGGATCCCGCGCCGACAACGCCAGCGGCAACACCCGGGCCCCGCGCCGTCCGTCTCGTCCGCGTCCGATTACTCCGCCGCATCCTCCGCGTCGCACCTCAGCCTGCACCGCACGCACTCCGCGTTCTCCTTCGACTCGGCCGCCACCGGGCACTCGGCCCCCTCCGCCCCAGGCCTCCGGCCCGCATCCCCGGCGCCGCCGCAGTGGCACATCGACGACGCGCCCGCGCACCCGAGCACGACCTCCGGCGCCACCCGGCACGCGCGCTACCTCTCGCGCGAGATCGCGTTCAGCGCGCCGAGCTCGCGCGCCGCCAGCCCCGCGTCCGGCCCGGACTCCGATGACGAGAGCCCCGCCGAGGACGGGCTGCGGCGGCACGAGGCGCGCGAGGGCTGGAGCGGCGAGTGGCGCGGCGCGGCGGGCATGCACGACGTCGTCGCGCGCCTCCGCGAGCTGCGCTGATTTGTATGATTTCATTGCCATTGTTGCTATGAACTGAATCCTTGTTATCCGGACCCCTCTCGCAAAATTATTGTTATTAAGTATATTAGCATAGTTGTTTTATTTAGCTTGCCAGGCACTATTGTGCCTTTTTCAAGAGAGAAAAAGTATATCTGAGCATCGAGACTCTGCCCTGAGCATATACAGCTCTTGTCAAGTGGCAGAGGGCAGCTATCTTGCAAAAACACACAGTTGCGCAATACTCAATTGACTCAGCCAGTGTAAGTCTTTCAAACTTTTTCTCAATAATGGAAAAAAAAATGCGCATTGTCAGGCTATATCAGCACGCCAGCATCCTGTGTTGAACAGATGCAGCTGGCCACACACCATCAAGGAGTTTGGATGTCCACTGATATGCTCATTACTCAAGAGCCAGACCAACAGTAAAGGGGAGACCCAGCAGAGCAACGGCCCAGTGGAGGCTCCGCTGCACACCTAAAACCTATAACATATCAAGCTCGCACCCCCAGCCCCGCTTATCGGGACTGCTCTTGTTATGATCTACTTATATTACCATAATTGGCTATTTGGCATGCCACCTCTTGAGCCAACTTTGTGTCTTTTAAAGAATAGATCTGCCAGTGGCCCAGTGAATACCTCTTTCCAGAAATACACAGGTGTGCGTATGCTGTAGACAAGAAGACTGGTTCAAGTTTAGTAAGAGTCCAAGATCCAACTCACAGATATAGGGTCGGAATGTCGTGCTTGTGGGATAGTTGTGTATAATGAGATAAGTAATAGTGGATGATTATGAAACATTATATCAAATTGTGGATAGGTTCCCTGTAGTGCTGGCCTATTATGATGTTATCATGCTCAAAGCCTAACAACAATATAATAATATCATCCTCCACGGCATAATATATCTATAATATAATATAATAATGATAATGTGAAATATTATATTATAATTCTATTGTGATATGCTCCACAAACTTCTGGCATTTTCAACCTTAGTTTTCAGTATATCATGCAGTAGCAATATTATGCAATACTCTGGAATAGTAGCTCACTCAAATTGCTCTGTTAGATTGTGTTTGGAGGAGGCTTTTCAGTCACATATCTGCAGTGAATTGTCATAATAATAATAATAATAATAATAATAATATGGCATAATGATCAGATGTAATATAATATTCAAGGCCAGCACTAGTTACCTGGCGGATTCCCTGATGTGTTTTGGTCTAGGCTTAAGATAAGTGTTGTCTAAGACAAGAAATACTTGTGAGAAGCTCAGCTAGCTACTTTATCTACTCGTGCTATTAGTCTACATGACATGTAGGAGACTGGATAGTGGATGCATACCTCGTTCAAATCGAGGCGGGGCAGCCACCTCGCAACATGAGCAGATTCTTTTGTTCTCCTGTCGGGCGCTGAGGCGTAAGAATGCACTGGAGTGGCAAACACTCCCTTAGACTTTTTATCTTTTGTTGTGAAAATAAATGACTGGTTTTACTGTATTCCATTTGCTCGGTGTGACAAATGGCGTGATAGCAATCTTTGATCCATCTGACATCAGCCCGTTGTTTTCTCCTTCTGCCGTCATGCCTCAAACCGCGCTGCCCACCCTTCCTCACCATATCCCCTGGTGGACCCGCGATGCTTGACTCATTTCCTTTGCTGTTAGCTTGTCGGCTTCCCCCCTCAGTTGACCTCGAAGGAGTTGAGATAGGAGGAAGTCCGGTGTGTGACTGTGCCCTTATACTATAAACCCTGCGCCCTTCTAAGCACATCATTTGAAAGATTAGGACTCAAGGCTTGACTGCCTCTCTCACACATCTCAAATTATAGTTACTATTTCTTTGCAAGCAAGATGTTGTTGCGCACCTGCGCGCTTTGCGCTCATTTGTACGACTGTAAGGGCAACCCCGGAGGCCTGAGATCAAGGTCCTAGCAGGGGAGGATCCAAAGCATGAACATTGGTAAGCGAATACAAATGAAGCTGACCTAGCAGGGGAGGATCCAAAGAGAAGAAACTCTAAGGGTCCGCCTGCTAGGTAGCTGACTATATACTGCTTGTCCGTAGCTGCCGCTGTCGGGCGCAGAAGGCTTGGGCGGCATCGCAGGCGAGGTCCCAGGGCGACCGTCGGGAGGGCGTTGACGGATCGGTGATTGTGCGGGCGAGATGGAGGGCCGGACCAGAGTCGGAACCGGAGTCGGACCGGAATTGGGCGCGTCTCCGGGCCGAAAGGGAGGTTCCCCTGACATCACCCCCCCCTTTGAATGCGGCGTCCCGACGCATAGACCGGAACGGAATCGAGTCGAAGGTCGCGGAGGCGATGTGTCGTGGCTGCCAGGGTACTTACGATAGAACTCCGCAATTTTCTCCGGGGCGAAGACACGGTCGAAGCGGACCCATTGGTCGTGCGATGCGTCGTAGCCTTTCCATCTGACGAAGTAGCTCAGCCGTTTATACCTCACCCTTGCGTCCAGGATTTCCTCTACTTCCCACTCCGGGACTCCGTCCTCGAGGTCCGGAGGGGGCTGGTCGTAGCCGGGGCGTCCGTCGAAGGGGTCGTCCTGGGCGAGCTCGAGCTTGACGACGGGGAAGACCGGGTGGAGCTTTGAGTAGCGCGGAGGGAGGTCGAGCTTGTAGGCACCTTTGCTGATCTCCGCGACTATCTTGAACGGTCCGAGGCGGTGATGGGAGAACTTTTCCGAGGGGCAAGTCGTCCTGATGTCAGAGGCATCCAGCCAAACACGGTCGCCAACCTTAAACTCCGGAGACGGAGTCCGTCTCCGGTCGTAGTAGCGCTTGTACTCCTCTTTGGCCTTAGTGAGCGCGGCCTTGGCTTCAGCAACACCAGTGGCGATCCGGTCGCGGAACTCGTTCACTGACTCCATGGCGGAACGGACTCCGGGTTCGAAGCCCATGCGCGGGAGCCGTCCCATGTCCGTCATGAAGGGGACCTGCTGCGTGGAGGAGTGAACATGGTTGTTGTAGGCGAACTCCGCGGCCGGAATCAGCTCATCCCAGTCGTCCTGCTGGTAGTTGGTGAAGATCTGCAGGTACTGCTCCAGCTCCTGGTTGATGCGCTCTGTCTGACCGTCTGTCTGCGGGTGGTACGCGGTGGATGTGGCGGGCTTGATGCCGATTAGACGCCAAAGTTCTCGGGTGAAGTCCGCGATGAACTGCGAGCCGCGGTCGGAGACGTACTTCTCCGGAGTCCCGTGGTGCCGCCAGACATTCCGGTAGTAGAGGCGGGCTGCCCCTACTGCATCGACCGTCGTATGACACTCTGAGAAGTGGGCGCGCTTTCCGAGGGTGTCAACGACGACCATGATCGTGTCGTACCCATGGGCTTCGGGAAGCTCTACAATGAAGTCGACGGAGACGGTATGCCAGCGTTCCGGGGGCGTTTCCGTGGGGTGCAGCTCTCCGTGGGGCAATCTCCGGAGTGCCTTGGTGCGACAGCACAAGTCACAGGTCGCAACATACCGGCCGATATGGCGAGACATCTGAGGCCACCAGTAGTTCCGGGAGACCAACTCCAAGGTCTTGAAACGACCTGCGTGTCCGGCGACTCGGGTGTCATGGCAGAGCTCGATGATGCGTCTCCGGAGGTCCTTGTCCTTTGGTACAACGATCTTTCCTCGGAAATGGAGAAGACCGCCGGAGACGGCCCACTCGTCAGACGTGAGGAGCGGGGGCCTCGAGCTTGACCTTGAACCTTAAGAAGTTGCCGGGCCGCTAGTGCGACAGGCTCCTCTAGGTCTGGCTCACCGGAGAGGGCATCACGGATGTCACGGAGGAGTTCAGAGCCGGGACCGGAAACGGAAACGCCCTCGAGTGCGCGGACGTGGAAGAGTTCAGGCCGCAGAAGGACGACATCGGAGTTGTCGGAATCGACTCCGTGGTCGGGTCTCCAAGAGACCACCGGGCCTGTCTCCGGTTGAGGTGCTGCGTCTTCCTGAAGTACTCCAAACTCTTATGGTCAGTCCAAATCTCGACAGGGTGCGCGGCGCCCTCGAGGAAGTGTCTATACTCCTCGAGTGCGCGGATGATCACGAGCATCTCCTTGTCGTGGATTTCGTAGTTGCGCTGGACATCGTTTAAGCTTTTGGAATAGAATGCTACAGGGTGCCACTTCCCGTCCGGGGCGGATTGTGAAAGAACTGCCCCCGTCGCATAATCAGAGCTGTCCGCCTCGAGTCGGAAAGGCCGTGTGTCGTCCGGAATCGCCAGGACCGGTTCCGAGGTGACCGCGTCCTTGATCGCTTGGAACGCGGAGGCCTCCGCGTCGCCCCAAGTCCATTGCTGGTCCTTCTTGGTGAGCACGAAGAGAGGGCGCGCAAGGGTTGAGAAGTCCCGAATGAACCTGTGGTAGAAGTTAGCGAACCCAAGGAACTGCTGAATGTCCTTCTTGTTTTCCGGAGTCGGCCAAGCGGAGACGCCTGCGACCTTGACGGGGTCCATTTCGACGTGGTTGTGGGAGATGATGACTCTGAGGTACTCGATTGACGATTTTTCAAAGTCGCACTTCTCCGCTCGCACTACCTATTGCTGATTCTATGCAAAAGATGCTGGCAATTGCTTACCAGGCTAATGCAAAAGATGTCAGGCCCCTTGTATTTGCTAATTTTCTCAATGGAACTGATGCATATGACTAATGTTTTGACATATTATGTCAGATAAATCACCTTTTCTTCAGGCCGATGACTCGGTATGTAACATTGGAGACTTGATAGGACAGAAACAAGGAAATAAATAATGGCTTAAGTAAGATTGATCTAACAGAATTCAGCTATCAAAAGCAGTGATGGCAATCAAAAATCGTTCCACATCAGTCAAAATACCTTATTACCATCAATCCCATCAATGATATCATCTCCCAGGTGCTAAAAACACAGTAATACTTCTTTGAATAATATATTATAGGCCCTTGCCATCATCTTTTGCATTAGCCTGGTAGGCAGTGGCCATCATCTTTTGCATAGATGGAGCTATATGAGCTGCCGCTCGAAGGTACAACTTGTGCTCCCGGAGTCGCCGTAAGACCTCCTGGACAATCTGCCGGTGTTTCCGGAGGTCGGAATGGGCGATCAAGATGTCGTCAAGGTAGATCATGACGTCTCTGGAGAGGATGAGGTCCTGAAAAATGTCATTCATCATCGTTTGGAACGTCGCGGGAGAGTTTGTCAGGCCGAAATACATCACCAAGGGCTCGAATAGGCCTTGGTTAGTCCGGAAAGCCGCTTTCCACTCGTCACCTTCCTTGATCCGGACGTTGTTGAAGCCCCAACGGACGTCGAGTTTGGTGAAGTAACGAGCGCCTTTGAGCCGGTTGATGAGGTCGTTGATCAGCGGAAGGGGGTACCGGTTTTTGACAGTCATCGCGTTGAGAGCACGGTAGTCCTGGACGAAGCGGAATCCGCCATCCTTCTTCTTGACGAAGAAGACCGGAGACGCCATCGGAGACTTGGAGGGGCGAATCTGGCCCGTCGAAAGCCCTTCCTCGATGAACGCGTCGAGCTCGCGTTGCTCGAGGGGCGAGATGGGGTACACCTTGCAGTTGGTGGGCTTAGCGTCGGGGACGAGTTCAATGGCGTGGTCCCAGGCTCTCCGCTCCGGTAGCGTGTCGAAGGACTCCTTGTTGAAGACGTCCTGGAACTCCTTAGCCCAGTCCGGGATCTCGGAGGGCGGTGGGGCGGAGTCCTTGGCGAAGGCTTCGGCCAGACGCTGTGAGACGGTGCTACCTGCGCGTATCTCCTCTGAGGGACGGAACGAGGTGTAGAAGATGCGGTCACCATCTTCGAGCTGGTCATCTTCGTCATCCGAGTCCGAGTCCGGCGTCAGATCAGGCAGGTCGGAATCGAGACCGGAATCGGAATCGTCTCCGTCCTCAGGGCCAGAGAGGTCCATAGTGCAAACCGAGGGGAACGGGCCGGAGCGGAGACGCTTCTGAAGCGACCGGAGTCGCCGCAGCTCGGTCCGTTCGACGCGCTCTTCCTCACGGCAGGTCGAGCAATTGCGGGGGGCACCGTGTCATCTTAACCTCCTTGGTTTCCCAATTGATCTCTGGGTTATGTTTCCGCAACCAGGAATACCCCAGGATGAGGTCTTGCTTGCCAAGATGGGTGACAGCCGGTTGAACTCGTTCGGCATGGCCCTTGTAGCGCAGGACCAAGTCCGCGATCTGTTTGATGGAGCCAGCGTCATTGGGGGTGCCATCGACATTGAAAACCGGAATCGGCTGATCGAGGGTGCGGACTGGAATGCCATTCCGAGCAACATAGTTCGTGTCAATGAAGTCGGAGGTGGCACCACAGTCAACAAGCCCAGAGAGTGAGAGCTTCAGCGCGGCTGGTGGTGGACTCAAGCTCCAACGGGAGGTGGAGGGAGTTCGCCCCAGGGGCAGCGGCAACAGTATACTGCTTGGGCAGTTTCTTTTCCCAGGCAGTGAGGCGGCGAAGGACGATGACCGGAGTCGCGGGCGGAGTCGGAGACGGAGTCGAGGTGGGGGCAGGAGAGGGTGTGTCTTTCGTTTCGGGCTCATTGTAGGGCAAGGAACTGCATTCATCATACAAAGAGGCAAAACGATTTATAGACGCGAGCGAGGGCACACCAGTCACTCGTCGCGGGGGACAAAATCCTCTCCGGCCATCGACTCCGCTGCCGTCTCCGGCAGGGCAGCTGTGTCCGTGTAGCGGGCGATCAACTCCGCTAACATCTCGTCGCCGAGTTGTTGGATCACCTCATCGAGGATGTCCATTGAGCGGACGTCCGCGGGGAGGGGGCAATCCCGGGCGAGATGGTTTGGGTCGCCGCACCTGAAGCAGGCGCGACGAGGGGCACCCCGAGCCCTAGTGCGATCCAACTCCATGGGGACGGGAGCTGGAGGCACCGGAGCGGGGGCGCAGGCCGCGGGTGGCACGACCGGAGCCACCGGGCGGAAAGGGGCCAGAGCCGGGATGCGGTTGACCGGAAACGGAGTCCGAATCAAACCGCCAGGCGTCTTGGGGGCGGCTGACTTGATCAGCTTGGCCCCGACCAGGGCCTCGTATTGACGGAAGGCCCGGGTGCGCCAGCTAAGGTAATCCCGGAGGTCCGGGGGGTCGTTCGAGGACGTGATTCCGTTGTTGATCAAGGGGTCAAGTCCGTGGCGGAACTTGGTCACCTTGACCAGCGCGTCTTCGAATCCGGCGAGGTCCATCAGGTCCTCGAAGTCGTCGGTGTACTGGTAGACATCCTTTGTGCCCATGTCATAGGCAGAAGTCTCCAGCTTGGAGAGAGCGTGATCTTGCTCGTTCTCCTCGACGAACCGGAGTCGAAACTCGGAAACGAACGAGCCCCAGGACGGAAACGGAAACGGGGCTTTGCTTCCGTGGCGCTCCGCCCATTGCTGAGCGGGTCCTTCTGCCATAAACGACATGGCATAGCGGACAGCCTTTTCCTCGCTCGCCTCTCCGTTGACCACGAAGGCCTCAGGGGCAAGGCGGGCATAGGTGCGGACCGCGTAAAGGAACGCGCGGCCGCGTTTCCGGTCGCCGTTGAAGGTGAACGGGGGGTTTGGTCGCAAGACCAATTTTGAGGCAAGGTTGATGTCGCCAAAAAGGGCTTCGGAGTCGCCCTGGACCGGAGTCGGAGTCGGAATCGATGTCTCCGGCGAAGTTGTTTGGGGTCCGCCAGCATTATTAGCGGCGGCAGCAGCAGCGGAAGCCTGGTTGGTGAGTAAAGCAAGAGCCTCAGTTAGGCTATCGATTTTCGCCTCGAGTGAGTCCAGCCGGGCATCTGTGGTAGGAGTGACTCCGGACGGCATGACGGGTGCGGGGACCACAGTAGTAGAGGAGGAGGGGACAAGTGGCAGGGGCGGTGACGAGGGCGGAACGGACTCGTACTCCGAGCCTGAGTCAGCGCCGAACCTGGCAATCTTGTCCGGTTGATCCCGTAGAGAGTTTCTTCTGCTGTAAGGGCAACCCCGGAGGCCTGAGATCAAGGTCCTAGCAGGGGAGGATCCAAAGCATGAACATTGGTAAGCGAATACAAATGAAGCTGACCTAGCAGGGGAGGATCCAAAGAGAAGAAACTCTAAGGGTCCGCCTGCTAGGTAGCTGACTATATACTGCTTGTCCGTAGCTGCTGCTGTCGGGCGCAGAAGGCTTGGGCGGCGTCGCAGGCGAGGTCCCAGGGCGACCGTCGGGAGGGCGTTGACGGATCGGTGATTGTGCGGGCGAGATGGAGGGCCGGACCGGAGTCGGAACTGGAGTCGGACCGGAATCGGGCGCGTCTCCGGGCCGAAAGGGAGGTTCCCCTGACAACGACTTCCTTTTCCTTTCCGGCATTGTTATCCGAGCTGCTCTCCGAAAATTATTGTTGTTAGCTATATTCCCATAATTCTTTAGTTAGCCTGCCGCCCCTAATGTTGTTGCCCTTTGAACAACAAGTATCTGATGTCCTGCATAATCAGACATACAGCTACATTCTAGTAGCAAAGTATTCTTTCCAAAAAAACAAAAAGCCAGACAAGATCTGCTAAAATTCAGCAGGAGTCAGCACCCCACATTGAACAGAGATGGCAGACCCAAGAGAGCCAAGGAGCTGTGACAACATCATGCAGAAGATGTATTATCCAAACCTAGAAGGTGTGAGCTAGTATTACCTCATGATCTGTTTATTCAATATTATTTACATCATTGCTAAGAGTTATATTATAGTGTGTTATGAGGTCTGATTAAGAATGTCATCAAAGGCGAAGGCAGTTGGGAAATGGGAGACTGATGGCAGACCAAACATGTCAGGTGTCAGGGAAACCTCCCTTTTGCGGATACGGGTATGGGTAGGGGGTCCGGTATCCACGGATCTATCCGTGCCCATCCCTAAAGGCGCTGTGGGTGACGACTGGCGCCACCTTCCTCCAAGACACGGCCCGCCGTCACTCAATTGGAGCGAGGTTTCACGGGCAAGTTGAGATACTGTGGGACAGTAAGTGCTACGCTGAATCGCCCAAATGCAGTGCTACACTGCTGTAGCTCAAGTTCCCAACAAGATTGGCCAAAAATATCTTTCCAACGTGCGACTCTCGATCGTCGTAATTGATCTACGTCATATGCTGACTCAGCACTTCGGCTTTTCACCTGCCACTACTTGCTCGCTCCCCGCTGCTTCCAACCGACAAACAGAGCCCACAACCACCTCTAGTCAAACGATATGCTTGTCCCTCGACATCCCTCCCCTCCTATCACCCCTCCCACGGCTCTGACTCGTCCACCCGACGATCGACTCTTAGCCGGATCGACCTCTGACTCCGCCATTGTCTGCGATGCCGCCGACAGGCACACGCTAATTGTCTAGAAACAGTCAAAAGCAAAGGTACTGCGTCGACTCACCTCCATCAAAATGCCCGTCTGCAACGGCTGCGGGAACGAAGTTTCCTTGGGGCGGTAACCGCTGCTCCCGTTGCCTCGACCGCGATGTTGGGAAGGAGAACATGTTCGCTCAGTGCAAGGGCTGTGGGGGTACCTTCGAGTACCTCAATGCAGCGAGCTGCGGGGCATGCAAGAAGAAAGGTGCATGTTTACGATATGACACTCGCCGTTGCTGACAAGTTTGAAGATACCTCACAAACGGTCGAAACTATTCAAGATGCGATGGCCCACCCTCCAAACCCACGCTCGCGGCGACATATACATCCCCCCTGCTAGTGTGGCTCATGCCCACAACCCACAGGTGCCCCCAAACAAACACGGCCACCTCCCTAGAGTCCAAGTCAGACACGGTTAAGCTCACTGTTTAGGAGCACAGTGCCACACTGGCAGAGCAACACTCACTGGTGGATTGGGTCAGCCGGGTGATACCCTGCCTCGATCTTCCCTGCTTCGTACTGATACCGAACGTTGGCAAGTTCTTTCTCCCAGAGAGGTCGCCAGTTCCGCTCACGAGTGATGTTATACACACTTTTGACCGATCGATGGGCTGGGACCACCTCGAGTGAGAGCTCGGGAAAAGACTGTTCGCTATAATATCAATTTGAGCCTGCGGTATGAAGAACGTGAAAATGTTGTATAACATACCGAAGACTTGTTTGAAGTGCTGCAAGGATGCCAGTCTCGGTGCCCATGTCCGTCGTAGTTTGGATTGGCATCCCTTCATACATAGGAATCAGAATTGGAGTGAAAAAAGATCGGGAAATCACGTACCGCCCAGCTCGTGGACAAGTCGAAGATACAGTGCAGGAGGAATGTTCGCGCGACGAACCGAACGCATAGCAAGGAGGAGAAGCTCTTTCCGCGAGTATTTGTCAATAATGCCGTAGATACCGATGCCCATAGATTCAAAGATTTTTTCGTGGCCGTCAATGCACCATTCCTCGTTTGGCCCACTGCTGAACAAACCACTCTTGTGTACCTTTCTAGTGGCTGGATGGCGTTTACTGACAGCGTCGGCGTTGAGGGTGCGCTGTACGTCATTAATTTGAGGTCTATAGATTTTGCACTATCAGTAAACCAAGTGAATGGGAGGGCATTGACCCACAGAGAGATATGTACGGTGTCAAGCGCAAGCTTTTCCTTCACCCTTCGCCCTCCCCATCGACCCAATGGATCATCCTCAACAAGCGAGAGAATGGCAGTGACCTTCTCAATGTCGGTAAGGTTGGAGTGACGCGTTGTGCAGAGATTGTGCTTTTGGATGATCCGCTCGACGCTCCGAAGCCTGACATAAAAGAGTTAAATCAGCACAGTGAGATCGAGGCTGCACAAACCCAATTTTGATTCCGTTCTCCTTCAATAGCGTGTCTGGAATATTTTCCTGTCGGACATGCTCGTCGATGCATTTCTGAATAAGGCGGGGAAGCTCTGGATGTTGATCCACTAGCGTCGATATTGGTCAAGGCTCATCAAGGAGGATTACCACTTACCCAGTCTTCCTCGACGGTGCTGATTGCCCTTGAATTTCGAGGGCCCTGGGTCAACGTCGGAGCTCATAGCACACGCTCGGTCTTTGCCTCATCGCGGCCAAGGTATAAATAGCTTAAGAGAACAACTAATACTACATATAGAACAACAACAGACCGACAAGGTCTCTGAGAACAAAGCCCAACCTAAAAGGGTACAATGGCTGGCTCGGATGGGTACCATGCCAGGAACTGAGCCAGCATCAGTCCATCACGTCAGATCTACCTGGCGGGTAATGAACACCGTAAGCATGACATAATCGGTTTTTTTCCTCTTCCTGCCGTCATGCTCCAAACCCGTGGTTCGTCGATGGGCTCCATCTCAAGCATCGACTTTGAAGGAGTTGGTTGAGGTGGCAGACACTGGCAGTGGGCGCCTCTGTGTAAGTCTGGCCTCATCCCGCTTGCGTGCTTATGGTCTTAGCAGTGGAGCAATGGGACCTGAGGAAACTCCGTTTAGCCGCCGTTCTCAGCTCTTCCAAACTACTAATTAATGGCTCAGCTAACAGGAAACGACATCTCACCTGGACAATTCGTGCTCGGTACCTCGGCCGTGCTCAGTCACTTCTCAATTGCCGTTAGCAAGCCATTCGGCGGCCTTCCGAATTAGCGGACTATAAGCCTCCCTTCCGCCACACTCCTTGTCTGCACACTACAATGCTCTTCTATCGCCTTCTTCCCCTGCTTGCCTCCACTGTCGCTGTCCTCGCCGCACGGTACCCGTCCTTCGGGACGCTGCAGACGCAAACTTCCAACGGCGTCATGCACGTCGTAATTAACAACACGTTCTCCGAAATCAACGTCCTCGACTACCACCTCGCGTTCGACCTGGCGAACCTTCTCGAGCGCCTGCAGGGGAATGGGACAGACTCTGACGTCCATGCCGTCGTGTTCTCGAGCGCCAACCCAAAGTTCTTCATCGCGCATGTCGACATAAACCTCTTCGTTACCGGATTCGGTAAGTTCCGTCCCCTCCTTTGCCTGGTTTTAAAAGTCAGCGCCGCAGAGTCTCCGCTCCCGAAGTTCGACCCGTTTAATCCGGACATACTGTTCTTCGACGCGCTCATGTGGAACATAACAACGCTCCCGCAGGCGACCATCGCGGTCATCGAAGGGGTACATGGCTTGACTACCCTCCAATTGGACACTAATGATTCTCAGCGTGCGCGCGGGATCGGCAACGAGTTCCTCATGGCTTGCGACATGCGCTTTGCGCTCTCTTCCCCGAACGTCCTCCTCTCCCAAACGGAAAACTCTGTGGGCGCCAACCCCGGCGCAGGCGGAGCGATGTACCTTTCCAACCTCATCGGCCACGGACGGACGTTCGAGTACGTGCTGTCTGCTACAGACGTCAATGCCGACACAGCTGCGCAAATTGGGTGGGTCAATCGCGTCTTCGACACGCCTCACGAGCTGCATGACTACGTCGATAACCTGGCTGCGCGTATCGCGCTATTCCCGCTCCCGGGGATTGCCGGCACGAAGCAGGGCGTGAATGCTATTAGCCGGCCGCCACGAGACGTGTTTGTGCGGGACTCGCAAGACGTCATTATAAGCGTGACGTCGACGGCTGAGGGCCAGGAGTTGCTGGATGCCGTGTTGAAGGCAACGAATAACCAGAGTCTAGGCGCATTCGAGCTGGACTGGCCGACGGAGGTGGTGAAGCTCTACCAGTAAGGTCGCTGGCCGGGGCGAGAAGCCGGTTCTTTTCCGAGTTTCTTTGTGTTTACTGCGGGTATTGCAATGATTGTTGACTATGTTTAAAGCTTTATTAATGTCGTTTGCATTCCATCGGTGCGTCGAACATGCTTGCGCGCGCTTCCGGCGGTCTGCTGACGCTCTATGACAGGCTATACTTAGCTGCCGACTCGGCGCCGATCGGCGCTCCGTGTGATTCCCGCAGCTGTCTGTATTGCGACCACGTCATGCAGCCTGGCTTCTTCGCTCCTCCCATCGCGCAACAGCCACCTGGTGCCGTCCAACTCGTCTCTGCAGGATTCATCTGCGGTCGACATCGTTGCACGGGGCCGTCTATTTCCGTTTTGTGGAGCGAAAAGGCCTCGAGTGGCTTCGAATATCTGATTGCTGCCCGTGCGGCGCTCGGCGCTGGCACTAATGAGCGGCGGTGGAAGCACATATAACGGCAGATTGGAAGACCAGGCTAGACTCTGCACGCGGGTACGGCGTCATGAGGCTTACCCTTGACCGGTGGAGCTGCGTATAAAGGGAAAACACGTTGGAACGGTTCGGTAGCAGACGCGTTCGTCTCTCTCTCTCCCTTGCCCTCCCTCCACAAGCGCAAACAGCAATGAAGTACATCGCATCCACACTTGCGCTCGCTGCAGCCGCCTCGGCGCGCACGATCACCGTGTACAATGCGTGTCCGTTCACGATCTGGTGCGTACTCTCGTTCAATACTTACTGAACTTACGGTGCAGGCCTGCGCTGTTTACCTCAGCAGGCGGTCGGCCGTCACAGCCTACGGGCTGGTCGGCGGGCTCCTTCACCTCTGTGACGTTCTCCGTCCCCGACCAATGGTATCGGTCTCTTCAATTCATGGTCTCACATGTTTACGCATATCCCCAGGAACGGCCGCATCTGGGTAAATCCCCCCATTCACACCAGCTAATCGTCCACTGACACATTCCTGTTCAATAGGGCCGCCGCGACTGCGACTTCTCCGTCAACCCGGGGCCTAACTCGTGTGGCGATGGCGGCTGCAATGGCGGACTGGTGCGTCTCCACTCTCCGGCCTCACCCTAGGCTCCGTTGATATCGGCTAGCTCTGCGACCCCTCGACGGGAACGGGCGTGCCCCCCGCGTCACTCGCGGAGTTCAACCTTAACGCCGGCGGCACGGACTTCTACGACGGTGTGTCCCGCATCTCTCCTGGCCGCAGAGGCTGACGAAACTGGCAGTGTCGCTCGTTGACGGGTATAACCTCCCCATGCGTATCGACAACAGCGCCGGGTGCGGCGCGCCGGCGTGCGCTGTCGACCTGGGGCCAAACTGTCCAGCGGAGCTCAAGGTAACGTCCCCCATCAGCCCTATCAACGCGAGTTGATCGTCTGCGCAGGGCCCCTTCGACTCGACGGGCTTCCCGATCGGGTGCAAGTCCGCCTGTGTCGTGGATGCGCTCAACGGAAACGCCGGCAACTCGCCAAACTGCTGCAGTGGCGTGCGTGCTTTCCGCATAAACTAACCATTCGGCGCTCTGCTGAGGAAATGAAATAGCAATTCGACACGCCGCAGACGTGCCCGTCCAGCGGAGTGAAGGACTACAGCTACTTCAGTGCGTATTCAGGCTGTTATAGTTAGCGATCTCACGCTGATGACGGGACATTTCATAGAGAACGCGTGCCCCACGGCCTACGCGTACGCGTACGACGACGCGACCGCGCTCTTCACGTGTCCCGCATCAAGCGGCGCCACCTATACCGTTACATTTTGCCCCTGAGCCCCCAGCCTGTATTTTTTATGAACCAATTTACAAAGTGTTTGTGTATGAATCCAGAATATGGCCATATTGGTTGCCCTGTAGCATGTTGCTGTGACGCAATCAGACTTCACGTTCAACATTCAAGTTTACGAAATAAGCATATGTTGCAACTTAAACGGGAAACAACAACCCTAAAAAAATTTGAAACTTGAAAAAAAATATTGCAGAGGGGGATTAAAAGGTCTTTTGATGATTTTAAAATTGTCTTTCTATATCAGCATTCTCTTAGTGCCAGTGACATTAAGTATATATATAATAAATGATATATTTATGTGTATATTTGTTTAAATAATAAAGGATATATTGTTGGATATTAGATGTTGTAAATACTCCTAATTACTCTTATATTAAGCAGATGTCGTGTGAATGTATGCGCATGTTTGGTATTAGCTTTAACAATTGATTTACTCCGCACTTCCATTTTTGGGGGTCACTGCTGTCAAAGTCCTAAATTGGTAAGAAAAGCTGTAAAATGTCACCAATCCTGATTGGGATGCAAAGCTGTAAGTGATATCTTGCACCCAGTACTGTGAACAAGTTGTATGAAAGGTTATATTCTCAAATTCCCCACAAATTAAGAAATTAAGTACACAAAGCCTGAGTTTAGCACTCGACATAAACTAGCAACAGATATTTAAGAAGGCAATTGGGCATCTGTGTGCCATTCTATAGTTAGTGGCAATATTCTTAATGGAGAAAATCATGTTATTCAAGCAACATTCAAGTTCAAAGCTGGGGCGTAGCCCCTGCCCTGTCTCGTAGTGCATATAATTGATACCCAGGAAAAATCAAAGCCCACACAAAGTTCAAGACAGTTATAACCATGTGCAAAGGTTTGTACACTGACAGTGTTGAATGGCTGGCAGCACCACTGGGTAATCTACTTATCTCTGGCACAGTGCAATAATTACGTCATTAGCTTCTTTGAGTATACCTTAGTATTATCTTTGTCACTATTAGAATTCTTTGTATATATATACTAAGTAGTATTACTCTTATATTAAGCAGATGTCGTGTGGATGCATGTGCATGTTTGGCACTGGCTTTAACAATTGATTTGCTCTATACTTCTATTTTTGGGCTCACTGCTGTTAAAGTCCTAAATTGGTAAGAAAAGCTGTATAATGGAACCAGTCCTAATTGGGTTGCAAAGCTGTAGCCTGTAAGTGATGTTTTGCACCCAGTACTGTGAACAAGTTGTATTTAAGGTTATTTACGAGCAAATATTCTCAAATTGCCCACAAATTGAGAAACAAGTACACAAAGAATGTGGAGCAAATGAATTGCTCAGGCCTGTGACGGTTCGGGTCGGGCCGTCGGGCCCTATACGGCCCAACGGGCCCTCACCACCCTTAGAGCCCTAGGGCTTGACAAGCCCTCATATATTCACAAGCTCAAAGCACTGAGCAACAACACTAATATCCCAGAGAAGGGACCTAATCACGGATCGCGCTCTAGTCAGCCATCAAGCCATCATGACCCGCCATCAGGGATCATGATGCGCCGCCGGACGCCCTTGACAGCGGGCCCAATCGGCCCCAGACAACCACAGGGATCAGGAGGGAGCTCCTTACTGTTGCATTGCCAAACACTCCTTAGTGTCGACTTTGGCATGGCTCCTTTCCAGAGGAATGGTCCCTGGGCTCCTAGCGGAGCGACCAGGGACGACCAGAGACATCCCCTGCTCCCTTCTGATCGACCCTCAGCGGGCCCGATCGGCCCCTAGCGCCCACCGTATATAAAGACTAGAGTATTACTCCTGTACCTTAGGTTTAGCATTGAAGTCTCTTCCTTTGAACCCTACTCCGGCCTGGTCCCCTAGAGCGGGGTTGCTGCGACCATACCCCGGGAAAGGGGCGTCTAGACGACTTCCAACACTCCAGGCTAGCTTGCCTCATTGACCTGAGCCCTTGGTTGGGCTGGACAGCTCAGGCTCTTGTCTCTTATGTTCACCCTTGTCCTAGCCACTTCTTCTTGCTCTCTGGCCTCAAGCTCTGGGTTCCCCTGGTACGGGGCGATGGGAGGGTGCGGGCCCGATCGGGCCCGCATGCCACGCGTCACACCGCGCAGTCACGCGGTGTCTAGGAGCCACAGCGACTCGTTTCTCCAGGAAAGGAGATATGTCGCCCCTTGGACTGGCAACCCTTCTCAAGCGCTCCAGGGGTCTCGGGCCCGCAGCCCCTGCTGCGGGGCGACTCCCCTCGACCCTCCGAACCGTCGGGTGTGACCGCGTTACGTCACGCCCCGCCCGAACGGCTTGTTCAACTGGCCCAGCCTATGCCTTGCCCTATGCCTTGGGCACCAACTCTACTAGGCAGCACTCTTTGGCTATGGACTCGTTCCCTTCAGCAGGGGTAGGACACTCTAGACGACTACTCGTATCCTGTGACACCGCTGTCACACAACGTGACAGCGGGGCATCTCGAGTCGCCCCGAGCTGTCCCTACCCTGCTCTCTATTGCAGCAGTGGCACCATCTACGCTGCCTGGTTGCCGACCACCCAGCTATGGGGGTTGAACCATCTTTCCCACACTTGTCAGACTGGCAGGAGACCGTCACGTGGGCCCGGGCCGGCCCCGTTCCTGACAAGGCCAGTGCCAAACATGTGCATACTCGTACATTCACACAATATCGGCTTAATATAAGAGTAAAAAATGCCTCTAATTCATCACCCTAGCTAAAAGAACCCATTTAGATACTATTGAAACTACTAGTAGTGATCAAAGAGAGTTTGAAATGCTTGAAAGGCATTTTATGGTGGACAGGATGGTGCTTATAAGGCCCCCAGACCTGTAGTCTACTAGATGTCCCTGAGGCATTGGGGGTGATACTGAGTGGGGGAAAGGTCAAGTATGAAATGGCATTCAAATCGAGTCAACAACATCAGTTATCATTTATCATACACTAAACGCTGGGGGATTCTCCAAATTGGTTACTGGATACCTGACTGGGACTGTGGTATGAGGGTGGCAGAGTATCTTGGGATTCTGATTGCTGTTCCCAGTCCCTTTCTTGGCTGCCAAACCTTGAGTGCAGAAACACATTCTGGTCCTCCACTGGTATGGAGCTGGGAGGTCCATGGAAGTTGGATGAATGAATCTGTATGAGCGCAGGCTGGGCAGCAGTATTCAGCTTGTTGTCTGGAGATATTATGAGGTTATGTCTTTCTGCTGTGGATTGAAAGGGCTGGCTTTGGGGATTGGCAATGTCTAAACTCAGGGAAGATGGATGATTTGGGACTGCTGATCCAGGACATATCACTGGGAGCACTGCTCCATGTGACAGAGGTATGAGGATCTCGTTGTCCTCTATAGCACTGACACCGGCACTTGTTGATGCTGCACCGGTGACAAGGTCACGGTGAATGGTGAATGGTGCCACTGGATTTGTGCGATATCCATGTCGAAGTTGGTGCAATTGACAATGTCGATAAAAGAGGACTAGTACAATGGCAAATGCGATGACGAGGACTCCCATAAAGGTAGATAATATGATCAAAGTGTGTTGCGATGAGGGAGTGCTATTCTTGGAATAAGTGCTGAAAACAGTTCATAGTGAGCTACAAACATCATTTGATTGATTGGTGCTGTGAATGGCGGTGGGAGGCTCTGACTCTGGCTGGCAGATTTTGTCTCGATAACAGTGAATTGCTGGCTAGATAGCTCCTGCCCGGTGGTCACAATCTGGGTGACAACACCCTTTGTAACCTCAAGGGTTGTTGTATGAAGTTCAGTTTGAAACCTGGTGCTGTTGCCTGGATTAGCCAGACTAAATGAATGAGGCGGACAGCAAGACACCCACACAACATCAGTTCTGGTTGCGAATACGGTAATACGGTCATTGGTGACTGGTTCCAGACTCGACCCATCCGCGTTGGGCGGACAGAGCAGGTTTGAGCTGTTTCCATCGAGGTTCCCATCCTACAGCTTGGTATGATATGATATAAAGGAAAGGAGCACTATGTCCCACCGAAAGTGAATATTGACAGGTGAAGTTGTCGGAAGAAGAGCCGGAGTATTGACATGCAAGAAAGCCATTGTCCAAAGCACGGACTTCTTGTGTCAGTGTTCCGTCCGAGGCGGCACTGGGACAAATGAACCTGATGGGTGAGCGGGATCGGAGGGTTGGCATTCACACAGGTCAAAATGGACTGGGAGAGACAGCTGCTTATGAACGGAGTTGGAGGTGCTAAATTTAATGTGATCTTCCAACACGGATGTGTATTGATTCGTGGTGGATAGAGACCATGCGTGGGAACTTGGTGTTCGCGTCAATGGAGAATCTTGGAATTGAAAGTGTATGGATATAGAAAGAAGCTAGGTTACCGTCATCATGGAATGACCGGCAGAAGGCTCGTCCTAAGGGTCGGTTAAATCACGTTCCGACTACTCGTAAAACTCAATACTAATGTTTCCCGGAATGATCCAACTGCAGGGTATGCAAGTCCGCCAGCCCACTTATCCGGTACGCAAAGGAGCGGCGGACGAGCTGGAACTTGGTCAGCGCCCAGAGCACGTAGCTGCGGCCCCACGAGACCCAGTCCTCCCCGCCCGCCTCGACCTCCATCACGCCCTCGACGATGCCGATGACCTTCCGCGCGACTACCCGGCGCTGGTTAGCGTACTGCGCCAGACTCCCGCCCCCGCTAACGGCCACGTGCTGCGCGATCGCATTCGCCAGCGCACATCCGTCGCCCAGACCAACGGTCATGCCCTGCCCGCCCGCCGGGCTGTGCTTATGTGCCGCATCGCCCGCCAACAGCACGTGAGCATGACCCGTCGCAGTGCTCCGGAGGAAGTGCTCGGCCAGCGCGGACCGCGTGCGGTAGCGCGTGCTCTCGAAGACCTCCGCAATTTGTGGCACGGGATGGGTCTTCTTGTGGCTCCCCGGGCCGCGGGTGTCGAGGATCGCCTGCAGGTACGCCTGGCTCGGGTGCTTGGGCGGCACGTCCGGACCGGGGATCGCGAAGTAGATGCGGAACGAGTCCATGGCGTCGTCCATGCGCAACGGGGCGGAAAGTACCATGCCCCCCGCCGCCGATGATCACCTGGACCGCGTCCGTGGGCATGTTCGGCGGGATCGGCGTCTTGAGCCGGACGTCGGCGACGATGAAGTTCGGGTCGTCAGGTGACGCGGCGGAGATTTGGTTGGTGTGTGGGTTGAGATAGCGAATTCCGGCAAGGTCGCGGATGGTGGAGTTGGAGCCATCAGCCGCGACGACGTATTGCGCTGAGAGAGTTTCGCCCGACTCGAAGCGGACTTGGTAGGCGCTGCCGTCGGCGCTCTCCTGCAGTCCAGTCACGCGCTGCTGCCAGTATATTGGCTCCCTCAACGCCTCCCGCATCCGCAGCTCGAATCGATGCTGAGGCAAGACGAGCACGTAGGGGAATTTTGTGTAAGGGGCCAGGTCGCTGACGGTGACGTAGACCACGTCACGTTCCCAGACGTCTTTAGTGCAGAAGGTGCCACAGGGAACACCATCAGCGACAAGGATATCGGCCAGGGCAGGAGACAGAGCGTGGAGTGCCTAAGAACAAAAAGAAATACTTAATGTCAGTGGAAGTAAGTAGTACGTGAGATGGCTGACGCACCTCCATCCCCACCGACTGCACGCCCATCGCCCTCGAGCTGTTGTGTCCCGCTGCTAGCGCATCCACCATTACAAAGGGCACACCCTTTGCCTGCAGCCCCAAGGCGCACGCCAGCCCCGTTGGCCCTGCGCCGACGATACACACCGTCGTCGACGCAGGCAGCGCTTGTGGTTTCTTTTCGTCAGAGGGGGCCATGGTAGTTGTAGAGTGCTATCCGTCCAGGGTCTTTAAAGGCCTGCGCCGGTCTGTACGTGGGCTCGAGGCTGGCTCGAAGAGGAATGAAGTTCCGCGGGGCCAATCCGTAGTTATGTGGTGACCAAGGCTGGTTGGTCAGGCTGCGAAAATCGCGTCAGCGCGCTTGCGTGAGCAGGCGTTGCCACGCCGTTGACGCGCGCGGCGCGCCAAGTCGATGGGGGGTGTGGAGGAAGGTGATGGCGAGCCGTGGCCATTTCACGCTTTGACTTTCGGCTGGTAGGTAGCGTTTGGGGAGTGCCCACCGACGACCGGGACGACTGTGAAGTACGTGTGTGCATGCTCATAGTCCGTCTATCCGCGAATCCCAGTTTGCCCACGCTCCTCTCGGTGCGATCGTCAGCCTCCCTCACGTCCATGCTCACAAAGCCAGCAGAACCGTTGTCACTGGCCATGGGTCATGCGAGCCGAGGGAGCCCGGGAGATCTGTATATCCTGACGTGACCAGTGAAAGTCGAGAAAGAGGCTCCCACGCACCGTAGAAGTGGGCCGCACATTTCTGAATTCAGACTTTCGGAGTGGCAGTCATCCCACCCATTGGCCATGCGTCGCTACGAGAGACAGGCTCAAAGCTACCCGTCACTGTGCAGCGCGCTACGCGAGCATGGACAGTTCAGAGGGGAAGAGGAAAAAAGAAGCGCTGAGTCATCGGAAGGCGGTGATGCGTGATGTGTCCCGCGGTGATGCGTGATGGTCACATCAGCACTGCCTTCGCTTGCCATTTTTCGCTTCATTCTCTTCTGCACAAGGAGCTGACGTCGCTGGCGGCTTGGAACGGTCCGGGCCAGCGAGAAGGCAGCATTCCGTCCCAAGATGGATTTCGAGTGGCGCTCCGGGGATGTGGGGCAGAAGGTGAAGGTGGTGGAACTCGACGGGCACTGGCAAAGTACGTGATCGCATTCGCCTTGCAGCGGCCCCCCTGACGCAGGCTCACAACTCTCCCTCAGACAGCAGACGACTCGGGCATACGCCATCACGTCCTCGGTGAAGTACAGGTCCCGCCCGACGACATCTGACTCGACATGATGGCTGTGGCTGCCAACGCCCATCCTGCTTATAACGACCACCACGACCACCTCTGGCAGGCGGGTTCCAATGGCTGTTGCGCTTCCCCCAGAAATCACCGACTCTATCATCGAGCAGATCTACCTCTCCGCCTCGCCGCCCTCCGCCTCTTTCCCCACACTGCGGGCCTGCTCGCTCGTTTGCCGCGCCTGGCTCCCCGCCAGCCGTCATCACCTCCCGTCGAAACTCTCCCTGTCTCCGCTCAACTTTCGCCTCTTCGTCAGACACGTGGAAACGCCGGAAAACACCCTTTTTGCCTACCTGCGCGAGCTACAAGTGTCGTCCCCGCTGAACCCCGTCCACCTACGCACGCTCGTCGACCTCCTCGGGCGATTTAGCGTTCTCGCAGTGCTCAAGCTCACACAGTCGCCCATCGCATTCGAATTCCCTCCCGTCCAATGCTTGACAAGCCTCGAATTGCGCCACGTCCGATTCGATACCTTCGACCGGTTTACGCAGATGCTGCGCTGTCTGCCGAACCTGCGGCGACTTTGCGTAGCCCAAGTGGTCTGGGCATCGAATTCGGGGGAAATTTTCGAGGCGTTGCCGCTGCCGGTGGCCGAGGGACCGCCCATCGAATTGGAGCTGTTTGAATTCGATTTGTGGCCAGCAGATGAAGGCTTCGGAAGCCAGAGATACTTTTTATCCTGGTTGAAAGCAGAGAGTGGTTGGCCGCGGGCGTCCAAGCTCGTCGTCAGGATACAAGCAGGAACTGACGATCTTTCTAACTATCTCGAACGACTAGGGGCGCACCTGATCGAACTGAATGTTCGGGACGTGAATGGTATGAAACTACCCCGTTTATAATTAATATCCGCGTTAAATATTATCTTCAGACAGAACCCTCTTGGTCGAACTACGGCACAACACCGCTCTCCGCAGACTTCGTCTCTGCCCCGCGCCGACCTCGTATGCGTGGCGCAGCACGCATCACTACCTCATGTACACCCTTCCGAACTTCTTCTCGCAGTCAAGTCTGCTCTCACCACATCTTGCCGTGCTCACCTTGGATCTTCCCGACATCACGCCTGACGACCTTCGCGACCTCCCGCAGGACGCGATGGACCGACTTGCAGCGCTCGTCGCCACTTGGTCGAGCCCCTTCCCGCGTCTCCGCCGCATCGAGTTCAATATCCGCTGTCGGCGCCATGTCGAGGATGAATATGGGCTCGCGGCCGGCCACCACCGTCCAGGGAGCGGCGAGATCGGCGAAGACGGGCTGAAAATGTGTGAGGTCGAACGCGACTTCCGCACCCATGTTCTGGACCCGCTCGTCACTGCCAGCGGTAGGTTTGATATAGACATGGTGATTGCGTTGGCGGACGTTCCGGGGTCCCTCGCTTAGCGCTGATGATTTGTTCACCGCTCAACCACGAACCTTAAATTTGTGCCCTCACACCTCCAATGATCAGATGGTTGACCAAAGGTCCTAGCTCAAAATTTTGGACTAATTGATTTTAATGTGAGTAAGTGTCCTGTAGTCCGGATTTTGGTTCTGGAATGTCCGCTCACTCCATATCACCCCTTGAAACACTCTGTGCTATTTTGATTCCTTGGAGATCGTTGCTGCCAGTGCCAAAGGGTGAGGTCCGCATAATAACAAAATCGGCAGAAGATCAAGAAAAAGATGGCTTTCCCTTTGATAGACTCATATAAACCCGACAAGGTTTTGCACCGTGAAGGGCAACTTCTAAGGCCTCCCTCGTTCTCTACTATCATGTCTGGTCTAAACTGTAGCTCACTGGTAATTTCTACACCTATTGATATACTTGGCTTCTGCTAAATCTGCTCAAGGCCAATGCGGATGCCCAAGGTCCCTGTGATGTTGCTAACAACTTCTGCTACGACCTTCCCATTCAATATGGCGCCAGTATTGCTGCAAGCACGACGCACTGTGAATGCAGCACTTTGGCCTTTTTCCTCTGCTCTGCTTGTGATGTTTGCGCCGGGCAGGCCGCAAGCCCTGGCCCAGCCTGGGGAGTGTATTCTGAGTCGAAAAGCTGCTCTGCCGATACACCGTACGTGGCGCTTTCAAGTGTTATAATAATCTGATCCACATTGAAGCCCCACGTTGCCTCCAATAAAAAATGGGACTGGTAAGCGCCAGAATCTGCTGTGTCCCAGAACACTTACTTCATCTGAAGTCGCTGTCCCGTCATGGGCAATGCGGATGGCATCGGCGACCCCTACGGTACGTTACGTATGCGCAAGAGAGTATACCCTACTGACGTGATTTTACATCACAGGCGAGCGTGTTTGATCTTCAAGCGGCGCTCGATCTCGCAAAGGCCAGCACCATCGCCACCTCGTCCGCCGACAGCTCCCGCTCCCCAAGCTCCCAGGCCAGCACCACGGCGTCTTCGACGCACCGCCTTCCGCCAACATCCTCCAGCTCCGACATTTCCCAAGCGCACCACCGTGGCGCGCGTCAAGCGGCGATCATCGCCGGGGCCATCGTGGCTGTGCTCGTGGCTGTGGCAATCATCGGCGCTTATCTGTGCTGGCGTCGCAAATCGATGCGCGCGGTGCGATCACAACTCTCAGCGCGTCCCTGGCTTGCCGGAGCGGAGCGCGGCCACGAGGAGCGCAGCCCGGCAGAGCTAAAGCGAGGAATGCGTAGTCTAAGCAGCGTGGGAAGCGATATGCAGACAAGGGGGCCTGCGCCGGCCGGTGATGCGATACTGAGACAACAGGTGCAGTCCGTACAGGAGGAGCTTCAACTGCAGCGCGATGAGCTCCGACATTTCCGGGCAGCGACACAGCCCCCGCCCAGCTATGTGTCCGGCGCGGCCCAACTTCACGGGTACTAAACATCGGGTATCTATGTAAGAAAATAAACATAGTTATTGGAATGTGGAGCCAAGTGTGGATCCGTGGGTGCCGGACACACCAGATGCGACTACAGGCAGTTAAACAGATGTGACACTTCCTTTGGACATCCATTCAGATGCAACATTTATACCTTCAGATGCAACACACGGGCACAGATGCAACCAAGGGGGTATCAGAAAAAAAATAACGGAACATACGTTGGACTTTTTGTTTAAGCCCTTCCAGGGGACCCACCGACCGTGACTGTGACGTGACATTACCATATTAGGAAGATAATTTACACAGTCATGTGATCTGATAGCATCAAACTCAGTCAGTCCTCTGAATTTCCAAGAACATTAATAGAAACATAGACTTCTAGCTATATATATATCTTGTAGACAAAGTCCTGATATAGTCATTGTCTTACAAATCTCACTCCAGAGTACAGATATCCATCCCCATATGGTCTGATTTGTCACAATGTTCCATCTGATGATGAGATACTGAAAAATAACCACTTGTGAGATTGTTGATACTTAATTATGGATGTATAGTGCACCAAACAGTACTTGTAACCCATCCTAAGACAATTTTGACTTACCATTTCAGCCAAAAAGTTTCTACCAAAAAAATTTTTTAAGGGTCCAGAGGGGGGACCGACCGACCATCCTGGTTGTCACTTTTTGACACGTGACACCCCCTTGGATGCAACAGTCTGTGTCAGGGGAACCTCCCTTTCGGCCCCTCGGAGACCCCTCCGATTCCGGTCCGACTCCGGTTCCGTCTCCGATCCGGCCCTCCATCTCGCCCGCACAATCACCGATCCGTCAACGCCCTCCCGACGGTCGCCCTGGGACCTCGCCTGCGACGCCGCCCAAGCCTTCTGTGCCCGACAGCGGCAGCTACGGACAAGCAGTATATAGTCAGCTACCTAGCAGGCGGACCCTTAGAGTTTCTTCTCTTTGGATCCTCCCCTGCTAGGTCAGCTTCATTTGTATTCGCTTACCAATGTTCATGCTTTGGATCCTCCCCTGCTAGGACCTTGATCTCAGGCCTCCGGGGTTGCCCTTACAGCAGAAGAAACTCTCTACGGGATCAACCGGACAAGATTGCCAGGTTCGGCGCTGACTCAGGCTCGAGTACGAGTCCGTTCCGCCCTCGTCACCGCCCCTGCCACTTGTCCCCTCCTCCTCTACTCCTGTGGTCCCCGCACCCGTCATGCCGTCCGGAGTCACTCCTACCGCAGACGCCCGGCTGGACTCACTCGAGGCGAAAATCGATAGCCTAACTGAGGCCCTTGCTTTACTCACCAACCAGGCTTCCGCTGCCGCTGCCGCCGCTAATAATGCTGGCGGACCCCAAACACCATCGCCGGAGACGTCGATTCCGACTCCGACTCCGGTCCAGGGCGACTCGAAGCCCTTTTTTGGCGACATCAACCTCGCCTCAAAATTGGTCTTGCGACCAAACCCCCCGTTCACCTTCAACGGCGACCGGAAACGCGGCCGCGTTCCTCTCTACGCGGTCCGCACCTACGCCCGCCTTGCCCCTGAGGCCTTCGTGGTCAACGGAAAGGCGAGTGAGGAAAAGGCCGTCCGCTATGCCATGTCGTTTATGGCAGAAGGACCCGCTCAGCAATGGGCGGAGCGCCACGGAAGCAAAGCCCCGTTTCCGTTTCCGTCCTGGGGCTCGTTCGTTTCCGAGTTTCGACTCCGGTTCGTCGAGGAGAACGAGCAAGATCATGCTCTCTCCAAACTGGAGACTTCCGCCTATCACATGGGCACAAAGGATGTCTACCAGTACACCGACGACTTCGAGGACCTGATGGACCTCGCCGGATTCGAAGACGCGTTGGTCAAGGTGACCAAGTTCCGCCACGGACTTGACCCCCTGATCAACAACGGAATCACGTCCTCGAACGACCCCCCGGACCTCTGGGATTACCTTAGCTGGCGCACCCGGGCCTTCCGTCAATACGAGGCCCTGGTCCGGGCCAAGCTGATCAAGTCAGCCGCCCCCAAGACGCCTGGCGGTTTGATTCGGACTCCGTTTCCGGTCAACCGCATCCCGGCTCCAGTTTCCGCCCGGTGGCTCCGGTCGTGCCACCCGCGGCCCGCGCCCCCGCTCCGGCGCCTCCAGCTCCCGTCCCTATGGAGTTGGATCGCACCAGGGCTCGGGGTGCCCCTCGTCGCGCCTGCTTCAGGTGCGGCGACCCAAACCATCTCGCCCGGGATTGCCCCCTCCCCGCCGATGTCCGCTCAATGGACATCCTCGACGAGGTGATCCAACAACTCGGTGACGAGATGTTAGCGGAGTTGATCGCCCGCTACACGGACACAGCTGCCCTGCCGGAGACGGCAGCGGAGTCGATGGCCGGAGAGGATTTTGTCCCCCGCGACGAGTGACTGGTGTGCCCTCGTTCGCGTCTATAAATCGTTTTGCCTCTTTGTATGATGAATGCAGTTCCTTGCCCTACAATGAGCCCGAAACGAAAGACACACCCTCTCCTGCCCCCGCCTCGACTCCGTCTCCGACTCCGCCCGCGACTCCGGTCATTGTCCTCCGCCGCCTCACTGCCTGGGAAAAGAAACTGCCCAAGCAGTACACCGTTGCTGCTGCCCCTGGGGCGAACTCCCTCCACCTCCCGTTAGAGCTCGAGTCCACCACCACCGCGCTGAAGCTCTCACTCTCTGGGCTTGTCGACTGTGGTGCCACCTCCGACTTCATTGACACGAACTATGTTGCTCGGAATGGCATTCCGGTCCGCACCCTCGATCAGCCGATTCCGGTTTTCAATGTCGATGGCACCCCCAATGACGCTGGCTCCATCAAACAGATCGCGGACTTGGTCCTGCGCTACAAGGGCCATGCCGAACGAGTTCAGCTGGCCGTCACCCATCTTGGCAAGCAAGACCTCATCCTGGGGTATTCCTGGTTGCGGAAACATAACCCAGAGATCAATTGGGAAACCAAGGAGGTCAAGATGACACGGTGCCCCCCGCAATTGCTCGACCTGCCGTGAGGAAGAGCGGGTCGAACGGACCGAGTTGCGGCGACTCCGGTCGCTTCAGAAGCGTCTCCGCTCCGGCCCGTTCCCCTCGGTCTGCGCCATGGACCTTTCTGGGTCTGATGACGGAGACGACTCCGTCTCCGGTGACGACTCCGGCCTGCCTGATCTGACGCCGGACTCCGACGACGACGATGACGATGGTCAGCTTGAAGATGGTGACCGCATCTTCTACACCTCGTTCCGCCCCTCGGAGGAGATACGCGCTGGCAGTACTGTCTCGCAACGCCTGGCCGAAGCCTTCGCCAGGAACTCCGCCCCTCCGCCCTCCGAGATCCCGGACTGGGCTAAGGAGTTCCAGGACGTCTTCAACAAGGAGTCCTTCGACACGCTACCGGAGCGGAGAGCCTGGGACCACGCCATTGAACTCGTCCCCGACGCTAAGCCCACCAACTGCAAGGTGTACCCCATCTCGCCCCTCGAGCAACGCGAGCTCGACGCGTTCATCGAGGAAGGGCTTTCGACGGGCCGGATTCGCCCCTCCAAGTCTCCGATGGCGTCTCCGGGCTTCTTCGTCAAGAAGAAGGACGGCGGACTCCGCTTCGTCCAGGACTACCGTGCTCTCAATGCGATGACTGTCAAAAACCGGTACCCCCTTCCGCTGATCAACGACCTCATCAACCGGCTCAAAGGCGCTCGTTACTTCACCAAACTCGACGTCCGTTGGGGCTTCAACAACGTCCGGATCAAGGAAGGTGACGAGTGGAAAGCGGCTTTCCGGACTAACCGAGGCCTGTTCGAGCCCTTGGTGATGTATTTCGGCCTGACAAACTCTCCCGCGACGTTCCAAACGATGATGAATGACATTTTTCAGGACCTCATCCTCTCCGGAGACGTCATGATCTACCTTGACGACATCCTGATCGCCCATTCCGACCTCCGGAAACACCGGCAGATTGTTCAGGAGGTCTTGCGGCGACTCCGAGAGCACAAGTTGTACCTCCGAGCGGAGAAGTGCGACTTTGAAAAATCGTCAATCGAGTACCTCGGAGTCATCATCTCCCACAACCACGTCGAAATGGACCCCGTCAAGGTCGCAGGCGTCTCCGCTTGGCCGACTCCGGAAAACAAGAAGGACATTCAGCAGTTCCTCGGGTTCGCTAACTTCTACCGCAGGTTCATTCGGGACTTCTCGACCCTTGCGCGCCCTCTTTTCGTGCTCACCAAGAAGGACCAGCAATGGACTTGGGGCGACGCGGAGGCCTCCGCGTTCCAAGCGATCAAGGACGCGGTCACATCGGAACCGGTCCTGGCGATTCCGGACGACACACGGCCTTTCCGACTCGAGGCGGACAGCTCTGATTATGCGACGGGGCGGTTCTTTCACAATCCGCCCCGGACGGGAAGTGGCACCCTGTAGCATTCTATTCCAAAAGCTTAAATGATGTCCAGCGCACCTACGAAATCCACGACAAGGAGATGCTCATGATCATCCGCGCACTCGAGGAATATAGACACTTCCTCGAGGGCGCCGCGCACCCTGTCGAGATTTGGACTGACCATAAGAATTTGGAGTACTTCAGGAAGACGCAACACCTCAACCGGAGACAGGCCCGGTGGTCTCTGTACCTCTCCCGGTTCGACTTCACGCTGCACCACAAACCTGGCCGCGATATGGGTCGGCCTGACGCCCTCTCCGGAGACCCGACCACGGAGTCGATTCCGACAACTCCGACGTCGTCCTTCTGCGGCCTGAACTCTTCCACGTCCGCGCACTCGAGGGCGTTTCCGTTTCCGGTCCCGGCTCTGAACTCCTCCGTGACATCCGTGATGCCCTCTCCGGTGAGCCTGACCTGGAGGAGCCCGTCGCACTAGCGGCCCGGCAACTTCTTAAGGTTCAAGGTCAAGCTCGAGGCCCCCGCTCCTCACGTTCTGACGAGTGGGCCGTCTCCGGCGGTCTTCTCCATTTCCGAGGAAAGATCGTCGTACCAAAAAGACAAGGACCTCCGGAGACGCATCATCGAGCTCTGCCATGACACCCGAGTCGCCGGACACGCAGGTCGTTTCAAGACCCTGGAGTTGGTCTCCCGGAACTACTGGTGGCCTCAGATGTCTCGCCATATCGGCCGGTATGTTGCGACCTGTGACTTGTGCTGTCGCACCAAGGCACTCCGGAGACTGCCCCACGGAGAACTGCACCCCACGGAAACGCCTCCGGACGCTGGCATACCGTCTCCGTCGACTTCATCGTAGAGCTTCCCGAAGCCCATGGGTACGACGCGATCATGGTCGCCGTTGACACCCTCGGAAAGCGCCCCACTTCTCAGAGTGTCATACGACGGTCGATGCAGTAGGGGCAGCCCGCCTCTACTACCGGAATGTCTGGCGGCACCATGGGACTCCGGAGAAGTACGTCTCCGACCGCGGCTCGCAGTTCATCGCGGACTTCACCCGAGAACTTTGGCGTCTAATCGGCATCAAGCCCGCCACGTCCACCGCGTACCACCCGCAGACAGACGGTCAGACAGAGCGCGTCAACCAGGAGCTGGAGCAGTACTTGCGGATCTTCACCAACTACCAACAGGACGACTGGGATGAGCTGATTCCGGCCGCGGAGTTCGCCTACAACAACCACGTTCACTCCTCTACGCAGCAGGTCCCCTTCATGACGGACACGGGACGGCTCCCGCATGGGCTTCGAACCCGGAGTCCGTTCCGCCATGGAGTCAGTGAACGAGTTCCGCGACCGGATCGCCACTGGTGTTGGCTGAAGCCAAGGCCGCTCACTAAGGCCAAAGAGGAGTACAAGCGCTACTACGACCGGAGACGGACTCCGTCTCCGGAGTTTAAGGTTGGCGACCGTGTTTGGCTGGATGCCTCTGACATCAGGACGACTCGCCCCTCGGAAAAGTTCTCCCATCGCCGCCTTGGGCCGTTCAAGATAGTCGCGGAGATCAGCAAAGGTGCCTACAAGCTCGACCTCCCTCCGCGCTACTCGAAGCTCCACCCGGTCTTCCCCGTCGTCAAGCTCGAGCTCGCTCAGGACGACCCCTTCGACGGACGCCCGGCTCGACCAGCCCCCTCCGGACCTCGAGGACGGAGTCCCGGAGTGGGAAGTAGAGGAAATCCTGGACGCAAGGGTGAGGTATAAGCGGCTGAACTACTTCGTCAGATGGAAAGGCTACGACGCATCGCACGACCAATGGGTCCGCTTCGACCGCGTCTTCGCCCGGAGAAAATTGCGGAGTTCTATCGTAAGTACCCTGGCAAGCCACGACACATCGCCCCCCGACCTTCGACTCGATTCCGTTCCGGTCTATGCGTCGGGACGCCGCATTCAAAGGGGGGTGATGTCAGGGGAACCTCCCTTTCGGCCCCTCGGAGACCCCTCCGATTCCGGTCCGACTCCGGTTCCGTCTCCGGTCCGGCCCTCCATCTCGCCCGCACAATCACCGATCCGTCAACGCCCCCCCCGACGGTCGCCCTGGGACCTCGCCTGCGACGCCGCCCAAGCCTTCTGTGCCCGACAGCGGCAGCTACGGACAAGCAGTATATAGTCAGCTACCTAGCAGGCGGACCCTTAGAGTTTCTTCTCTTTGGATCCTCCCCTGCTAGGTCAGCTTCATTTGTATTCGCTTACCAATGTTCACGCTTTGGATCCTCCCCTGCTAGGACCTTGATCTCAGGCCTCCGGGGTTGCCCTTACAGTCTGGTCCAAAAACAGATGCAACAGTAGAAACATGAATATTTTGTTTTAAGTAATATTTGTTAGTATTTGTTAGTGTTGGTTAGGGTTGATTAAGGTTCGGTTAGGGTTTGGTTAGTTAGGGTTAGGATAAGGGAAAGGTACATCTATATACTGTAGCAATTTATTCAATTTGGCAGTCACGTGTCACACCGGCCCTCCGGCGCCGAAATATTTCGGGCGTGTCACGGGCCCACAGCCAGATGCCGAATGTCAAATGCCCATCAAAGCATCAAAAAAATTTAATTTAATTTCGGTGCCGATGTCACACCATTTTGGGGTGCCAAATTGAATAAATTACTACAGTATGCTGTTGGGGGAAATGCTGAGTTAATGTTGTAACTATTTGTTAGGGTTTGGTTAGGGTTGGTTAGGGTTATTTTTTGTTCAGAGGAATATTAACTACCAGTGTGATACAATCAATTGATTTGTCACGGATAAGACCCGGCCAATCAATTGATTTGTCACGGATAAGACCCGGACCGTCCGCTCCGGCGCTGGTGTCGGGCCATCCCGGGCCCGTAGCACGCAGCATGTCACGATGGGGAACATGCGCCCCAGTAGGAGGAACGCACACGTGGGAAGCACATGACCGAGAACGGCGCCTCCAGCCGTCGCCAAGCCCAACTCGACACAAGGGGACTGGGGAGGAGTGCTAGGAGGTTAGGAGTAGCGCCTGGCCTGCAAGGGATGTACGATCGTCCCCTCTGCAGCCAGGAATGGGGACGAGGAGGAGCAGGAGAGGCCAGGGTGTCCGATTACCCTCTTTGCGGGCCCGCATATATAAGACGCGATAGTGTACCCTTTACTCTATCGCTTAGATCGTCTGAAGAACTACCTTACTCTGTGCAAGGAGGCGTTATCGACTCATCGGGCCTGACACGACCCGATTCGAACCTTCGACCACCGATAGCGACAAGGGACCGAGTTCACGGGCCCTTTCGGTTTAGATCTACCCGACCCACCATACTTGCGGGCCCGACTATCCGTCCGTTCTGTTCCGGGCGCGCGTTCTTAGGAGAGATCCTTGCACGGCCCGACCCGCAGTCTGACATGATTGCTGTTGTGGTGTCACATCTGGGCCATCGAAAACAGACGCACCAGCAGGTATGGAACAGATGCGTACACCTGTCGCGTCTGTTTTCCTGCCTGTTGTCACATCCGTATAATCCGTGGGTGAATCGGGGTTCAAACTCTGAATCATGGATATTATATATGTGCCAGCTTTATGTGATGGACTGATGAATGCCGCGCGGTACCCACGAGGTCTAGTCGTGCCACTATTAATCATATTAAAGTGATCTGCCAAGGTCATAATATATTCATATCATATAATTCTGGTCAGCACTACTATGTAATGGTTGGCTTTAAAATCACCTTTCTATCCTTCAAGTTTCTAAAGAAATTTTTTTTTCAGGAAAAATCAATAAGTAGCCTATGAAAAGATGATCTTTTTTTTTTTTTCCTTTTTTATATTTTTGGAGGGTTTAGAGTAATGAACTTCAGTCTGCAGAAGCATTCCAAAGAACATCCACTGGGTGCACTGGGAATAGCCAGTAAAATGCCGGGAAGTAAGCTCAGGGGGAAATGCCTTTATACACGTTTTAAAACCAGTGTGGGACTCCTACTACTAGTGTGGTTCATCCAACACCTTTCTTCAAATGTAGAATACCCACTAAAACCTGATCTAAATATTTTTAAAAGGCACAAGAAACTGTGGTTTTTATTCTGTGCTTGCCTTTCACAAGTGTAATATGTCCCCCGGCCTCGCGCCTACATGTATCGACCAGCCGAATAAAAAAAACATAGCCTTTGGTGGGTAGTGAGAGAGTACAGGCGCCGGCCCGAACCGATCGAGCCGCCGGCGTCTAGAGTGCGTAGGCCATGGCCATGGCCTTTCATGGGCGAGGCCAAGGCTGGGCCAACAACGGACGAGACGAATATGAGGTGACGTTGCGATGACGTGACGCACGGCTCATGGGCGCAACGACGTCATCGGCGGCGTCATCCGAGGGCGTTCTTCTGCAGCTTGTGCAACGCAGGTTGCCTTCGACCACGCCCGTCCTGGGTATGCGGTGGCCATTCCGCCTGCGAAGGGCTGTGGCGAGCCAGCCCTTGCCCCTGGGGCCTGGCGAGTCGCGCGTGGAAGGGAAGGGGGTGGTTCTGCCCTAGGCCTGCACGATGTCTCGATGCGCAGATGTCGATAACGCGTCCGGCGTGCGTTTGGCGATTCAGCTCGCGACTCGCCCCCCGTGGCCATCCGGATTGAGGTGGGCATGGCGGGCCGGCGGCATCGGCGGGCGGAGCGAGTGGCGAGGAGATGCTCCGGGCTCCACGATGAGCATTGCGAGTGGAGCGGGCGTGGAGTCAGCGGGGCTGGGATAGACAAGGGCTTGCAAGGTATGTGGCAGTATGAGGACCTCCGCGGACTGCCAATGGTCTCCTCGTCGACTTTTCAAGTTCAAACACGCTTCCACACTTGCACTTCTCGCCCTACTACTCGGCGGACGGCGGACCAGCCGCCCGTCGAGTCAATCATGCACTCAGTGATCTTCCCGACGAGATCGCCGCTGTCCCCGAGCCCCGTTCGGATCCCGTCGTCCTCGCGATCGCTTCCCGCCTTCCCGTCTTCTTTGCTTCGTGCGATCGCTTCTATTCTCGGCGGACGGGCGAATGAGGCAACGCCCGTCTCGTCCGCCCACCCTGCCGTGCAGGGAGGTGAAACGCGCGCGCGTACGTACGCCAGGCACCACCAGGACGGTTGCATACATAAGGCTAGGATAGGTAAACGCCGCTTCCGTGCAAGCGACCGCGATCGCATCGCATCGCGTATCACACTCGCGACGCGGCGACATATCGTGTCGCCGGTGGTCTGCGCCACTTATAGCTTTCCCTTCCTGCCCCCCTCTGGCCGCTGCACCTCGTACCCATCCATTTTTCACCCCGCGAAGTTCCACGTCTAGACAATGCGCACCGCAGACGGTCCCGGTCTTTTGACAGCGAAGGCGGCGGCGCTGTCGTCGCTGACAGACATATTGCATCAATCACCCGCGCTCCATCACTGCCGTATCGCAGTGGCAGCCGGTAGCCGCGACAACGGGTATTCCGCGGATATATACGCCCCGCTCCCACCCACACGCCCCTTCATAGCTCCCCCCTCCCCCTCACAACTGCGAGAAATGCCAGCGGAAACAGCCCTTCCGGAGGCGACGACCGTGTGTGTCGTCGGCGCGGGCCCGAGCGGGATGGCGTGCGCGTTGGGCCTCGCGGCGCGGAGTATACCTGTTGTTCTTGTGGATGCGCTGGAGGCGGGGCATAATAGCTCGCGGGCGATCGGGATCCAGGCTAGTGCGCTGGAGGTGCGTCGCCTTTCTCCTGCCCTTTCCAGCCCCCCCTCACGAGGGCTGTAGGCCTTGAATGCCACCCACCCACAACTGGTGACCGACCTCCTGAGCGACGGCATCCCCTCCAAAACGTTCACGACCATCGACCTCGCGGAGAGAGAGCTGCTCCGGCTGCGCCTCTACGACCTCGCGCAGTACACGCAGTTCCCGTTCATGCTCCTCCTCACGCAGCACAAGGCCGAGCGGCGCATGCGGGCCGCGCTGTCCGCCGCGGGGGTGCCCATCCACTGGAACACGCGCGTTACTTCGTATACCCCGTCCGACGCGGGGCACGTGGTCAGCTTCGCCTCGGGCCAGACGCTGACAGCGCGCTACGTCGTCGGGGCCGACGGGCACCACTCCACCATCCGGTTCCTCGCTGGCATCGCGCTGCTGAACCCGCTCACGCGCCAGCCGTCCGCGCCGTCCCCCGCGGACCCGAGCTTCGTCGTCGCGGACGTGCTGCTCGCGGAGCCGATCCCGCCGAACCTGCCGCGCGACCGCATCCAGATCATGGTCGGCGGCGGCGGGATGGTGCTCTCCGCGCCGCTCCTCTCGGACTCGCCCAACCCGCGCAAGAAGAACTTCTTCCGGCTGTACCTCGGGGTCGGCGAGACGCCCCCGAGCAGCCCGGACCTGGCGTACGTGCAGGCGATCCTGGACACGCGCGGGCCGGGCGCGGTGGTGAAGACGGAGCACGGGGTCGTGAAGGTGGAGGAGCTGCTGCATGCGGCGCGGTACCGCACGCGGCCGGCGCTGGTCGAAAAGATGGTGCAGCGCGCGGAGGGGAGGGAGGCGTGGACGGTGCTGATCGGGGACGCGGCGCACGGGAACGCGCCGGCGGGCGGGCAGGGCATGGCGCTCGGCATCTGCGACGGGGCCGAGCTCGCGGCCGCCATCCACGAGCACCTGACCGCACCCGCCGGGCCCGGACCGGACGCGATGGACGTGTACGCCGCGCGAAGACACGCGGTGGCGTACCAGGTCGTCACGCTCGTGGAGGACATCATGCAGGTCGAGAAAGGCGGGATGGACTGGAAGAGCCGGGCGCGGAATAACGTTATCTGGGCCGCGGGAAGGGTGGCGCCGGTGAATAGGTTGTTGGCGTGGAAGATTAGCGGGCTGGGGAATAAGGATATCAAGGGGAAGGTCTGAGTCGGTGATTTTGGGTTTGGGGCTTTTGTTGGTACTTATGCCCACATAATATTATATATAGAGACGTGCCTTTTTCAAGTGGACTATCAACCACTCCCAAAGCAGGGTGACCCACACCTTCGGCAAGTCATAATTTTCAAGGGGGGTTCAAGATCCTTATCAGGCACATGGGGTAGGGGGGAGGGGGGGGTAGGGATCGGCACCGTACCGTATACGGAGGTATTAACATTTCAGCAACGTCACATGCCTTCCCAAACGGGTAATGGCATCACATGGTCCCGCCGCCCGCCCATCACGCAATGAGTGACTGCTGAGTCACACTTGACGTTCTTCCTTTTACCCTCATCCACACCGCCAATTGCCACCCTTCCGCATCACTAGGCCCATCCAACCGGCTTCTCCCCCAAATCCCCCGTGGCATCGCGCCGCCACCCAACCTTTCCAACACGCGGCGGCGGAGTCGGCGCTCGATCTCCAGACCGCCAGTGACTCCTCAGGCTGGGGTGGGGTGGCATGGCCCATCGCGCTCCGTATGCAAAGCACCCTCGGACACCGCGCGGGCCTGGTGGCATCGCTGGCAGGGATGCAGCGTGCCTGTCACCGCTTCGGACAGTCTGCTGTTTTGGCGGGGCCGGGTCGCGGAGGACTCGGAGTCCGCAAATCAGAGGCCGGCCAAAGGAAGGGAGTCCGAGTTAGAAAGGTGTAACGTGTGTCAGTGGGCGCTGGGGAGAGGATCGTGAACCAGGAGTGGATGACTGATGGTGGGATGGCGAGCGGAGAATGCCCGGCGCTTGCGGTGTGGCCGGGCGAGTGGTTGTCGGCCGTTGAGCTGCACTGAGTTAAGCTCGCCTGTCAACCACTGTAGTCGGCATGTAATAAATATTTACAATGAATTCTAATTTCTCAGTCAACTTGCTAAGTATAATATTAATGATATGCCACCCTGTGAAGCGCATCAATCCCGACCTAAGGCGGCATCACGTGCATGAATTTCCTTTTTGGATGCTGTGCATCCGCGTGACGTTGCTGAAATTTTCGCAACTCGTATACGGTTACGGCCGTAAATTTACGGCCGAACCGGGACCGTCACCGTACCGTACCGCGTCCTCGCGCGGGTCATTACGGATACGGTACGGTCCGTAATACCGTATACGGTCATACGGTACGGTGCCGGCCCTCGCAACGTGATCCAGTGGTTATTTTGGATCACCAAGGGAGTGGAGGAGGTAGTGTGGAGGATCTCCCGGCCGCCTGCTGTCATGGGGCGGCACTGGTGGGTATGTTGGCCACAGGAGGCTTGAGCGAGGGCTCGGTCGGATGCACCGAAGGCCGGTCCGGCGCCGGATTGCCCCGTCTGACGACCCGGATGCAGGCCCGACAGGCCCCGACCTGTCGACAGCTTCCAGCGGAAGCGGATTCCCATGCCGACATCTACATAGGGCTGATTGATGGCTTGCTGAGGTGTCTCGGCAAGCCATCAACCGTAACCCGTATACGGGCCGTACTACGGGCTACGGTACGGCCTCGTACGGCCCCCGTCCCGTAAGGGACCGTACTGTACCCAGAGACCTAGAACCCCGGTACGGGTACGGGTACGGTGGCACCGTACCGTAACCGTACGCCGTATGGTACGGTCCGGTGCCGATCCCTAGGGTCCCCGGGGGTAAAAAAAACTTTTTATATATAAAAGATTTGGGCCTTATATGGGTGTAAAGACACTGAAAATATAGTGTATACACTCTTATTTCTATAGTTCACAACCCCCATACTTATATCTATATACTTTCAGGCCCATGAGCCTGGATAGTATACCCTATCACAGGCCCATCATCAGGTAATGGATGAGAGGTGAACATATTGAACAGTGATATGGCCTGCCATGTATATTTAAGGGTTCCCGGTATATAGATACCTACACACATACATATACAAATACATAATTTTTTTTGAAAAAAAAAGTTTCATAAAGATTAAATTTTTATGCCAATTTTTGATCGCATCAGTGGTCACATGATGCTAATCGTGGGAACATATTACCCTATATGGCAGGAGGGGGGGTCCCCGGAGGGTCAGAAAAAAACTTTCTGACCCTATATCCGTGATTCGGATCTTGAACCCCCCTTGATAATTTTACACACATTTTGTAAATTTGTTTGAGTGAACAAATCATTTTCCATAGCTTTTTTTTTCAAATTCACAACTAACTCCCCTGTAAATCCTGATACTTACTCTGCTTACTACGCAAGGTAGCATTGTGCAACTGGAATTGGAAGAGGTCATCAATGTTGCAGGGTAAAGAAGAGGTTACATTAATATATACTCTTGAAATTATAACAAGCTAGCAAGCCATATAGAGCAGTTAAGTAAACAACTACAAAAAACTAGGAGTAGATATGTTAATAGTCACCTTCACATACTGTATAGTAGGAGTCATTGTCAGAATCATCCCCTGGAAGCAGCCAGGTTTATCCTGATATATTGCCACTGGGAGTGCCGCATCTTGATCCAGAGGTAGCTCAACTATCTGTGTCGATCCCTTATATGCTACGGCCTGAAGTGCTGTTTGGTATTGGCGATCCACTAAATTAATATGGGCACCCCAGCTCAAAAGCAGCTCTATAATTTCTGTTGCTCCCTGGACAGCTGCAGCTTGGGGTGCTGTTCCATATTGACCACTGGCACCAACCAAGTTAATATTAGCACCCTTGTTTAGAAGCAGCTCTACAATCTCTAGTCATTCCCGATATGCTGCAGCTTGGAGTGCTATTTATGGGCCAGAAGTAGCTCTACAATGTCCATTGATCAATCAGTAGCAGCTTGAACTGCTGTTCCATATCTGCCACCTACTACAACTAAGTTAATATAATGATGATTCATCATATGCTAAGGTCATATTTATTAATGGCATCACCTATTCAAAACCTCGATAAACCTGTTTGTTCTACAAGAAACCTACTCTAAAGGCTTACTTTAGAGACTAGTTGCATGATTTTGCCCCTCTAAACCACTGGCCCTTCATTTCAGGCAGTTTACTGACTGATGTCCCAATTATAAGTCACATGATGATATAATCAGTTGACGTGGAACAGTTGTTTTGACATCACACCGCATTTAGTCAAATATATCTCGCGGCTGAAACGGTCGCTGCAACTGTCAGGGAAATTTCGAAATCGGAATCACACACTAGAGCTAGTCACCAAACTTACAAGTCAGCCACCTTACATTTTAACAACTGCTAAATAATCTCTCTTCTCGATAACTGCATGGTCAATATGGTAATCATATCACATGGTAATAATCAAGAAAATCTGATCAATCAATAGTACTTTTGAGGCCCTTCATGCTAGTACTTGATTCATGCTTTTAGCCCAAGTTCAATAGGATTTGTCCATTGGAAGATGCTGTCTACAGTTTTTCACAGGCTTCTTTCCAAATCTGATGTTTTTTAAGAGAAATTTTCATTCTTACAAATTGTGTTTATTCTGTGTAAAAATACATATGGGTTATTGGGCATTAAAAACATTGCTCAGAGAGGGCAGGTATCACAAGACAAGTGTCAGTATCTTAATTTGAGAAATCCCTTGTTGTCTCTTGATGAATTAAGTATCACACTGACAAAGTGCTGTTTCATGCTCCCCACTAACTAAATCAACATCTGCATTTTTTTTTTTCAGAGATGCTTTAATATGCCTACCATCAACCAGGTTAACATCAGCACCTTGGTTCAGCAGCAGCTGTACAATCTCCATTGAATCATGGGAGGCAGCAGCTTGAAGTGCAGTTCCATATTTACCACTAGTTGAGTTGACATTAGCACCTTTATTCAGAAGCCTCTCCACAATCTTAGTAAAGCCCTGAAACACTGCAGCTTGAAGTGCTGTTCCGTATTCACCACCAATCAGGTTAACATCAGCACCTTTATTCAGAAGCATCTCTATAATCTCGGTGAACCCCCAAACAGCTGCAGCTTGAAGTGCTGTTCCATCTGTGCCACCCACCAAGTTAACATCAGCATCTGCCTGAAGAAGCAGCTCTACAATCTGAGCTAAGCCATGGGAGGCTGCAGCTTGAAGTGCTGTTCCATATTCACCACCAATCAAGTTGACATCAGCACCTTTATGCAGAAGTAGCTTGACAATCTCCTCAAATTTACAACAAACTGCAGCTTGAAGTGCTGTTCCATATTTACCACTAACCCTGTTGACATCAGCACCTTGGTTTAGAAGCAGCTCTACAATCTCTATTGAGTCATGGGTGACTGAAGCTTGAAGTGCTGTGCCATATTGGCCACCAGTTAAGTTAATATCAGCCCCTTTGTTTAGAAGCAGCTTTACAAGATCTATCAATCCCTGGAAAGCTGCAAGTTGAAGTGCTGTTCCATACCAACCATCAACTAAGTTCATATCTGCACCTTGGTTCAAAAGTAGCTCTACAGTCTCTGTTGATCCCTGGATAGTTGCAGCCAGAAGTGCTGTTCCCAACTGTAGAAAACTATCACTTTTATCTGGTTTCCCATTTATAGCAGCACCTTTGTCTAAAAAGAATGCAACAGTCTTTCTAGACCCCCCATAAGCTGCTGCTTGAAGTGCTGTTACCAGGTATCTGGCCATCCCATCATCATCCTCCATTTTGCTGAGCATAAGCTCTATAGTTGTCTCAAATCTTTTGTCATCCGTGTTTACCTGACCATTCTTAATTAGACTGAGATTCCTGGCTCTTGTGGCTTCACTGTAGGATGCAGCCCAAAGAACTACTCTACACTCACATATGGTATTGATAGAAGTACCATATTGCCAAAGTGATAAGATGATTGTACAAGCACTTCTTCTCATCTCTATATCTCTTATGTGCCCATGGTACTGTATATTTATAGCAAGGGATGCTATTGCTTGATGCAGTAGTGACCTATCAGTTTGAGTCAGAATATTGATGTTAGCCTTTTGGCAAAGTAACATATCAATAGCAGTAGTATTGTGATTTGCTACTGCTAGTTCAAGTGG